TATATATATATATATATATATATATATATATATAACTGAAATCATGGTATGTAACAATAACTATTGGATTGTTTCATTGAATACCTTAATAAAAAGATTTTAAACAAAATTGTTATTAAATATACATGCATGTGTGTGTACTTAGATATACATAAATATACACAGTACACACATATTATGTAAAAAAAACTTTTGTTTTGGATGCGATTAATCATGTGACCGCACTAGTTTAGAATAAATAGTAATTGAATTAAAGTTTCTGGCTCTGTAGTTAATTGTAACTAGGGCTGTCGCGATAACCGCAATATCGCAATACCGCGCTATTGACGAGCAAACCGCAGCAACCGCGATTTTTGCGTGTTTTATTTTTCGTAAGGTTATGCCCTTCTCGTTTTACACTTCATGCATGTGGACTGAATATTAAACAAGCTAGTAATGATAACAATGTGTACCATGCTGATTTGTACAGAGGCTCCGTAGATTTGCACTTAACAAGCTTAAACAGACAGTGAATGAGAGCGAGATCGACTGAGCGCGTGCGATTACTTGCGTCTTGTCTCCGTTTTAGCACCGACGCATAGCTGGTCAGCTGAGCCTTCTAAAGTGGCGCTCAAAGTTAAAATGATTTCAACAGCGTGTTTCCTTACGTCTCTTTGAATGAATGAATCAGCGTTTTTGAGCGTGTAGTTGAACGGCAGTCCCTTTCCTCCACCTTGTGGCCCAACACTGTAACTGCACTGACTGACAGCCGTCTAGAACGCACAGGTGGAAATATCAATAGAAAGTCTCTTGTACAGTCAGATTAGAAAATCAGATTACAACTAGGCTAACTGTATACATATAGGCTAACGATAGCCTAACGATCTTATTGTCAGGTTTATGTTCTGTTAAGTGGACCGTTATTTTGTCATTCTCTTCTGTTTACTTCACTTCCCGTTTCAACGCTATTTGGTTTCGGTTACATTGTCTTCTGAATATGACCTCGTTAGTTATATCGTAACACATACACACACAAATATATATTTGTATGTATGGCGATAATACTGCATACTATTGAGACACTGAAAATTACCGCAAGGGAAATTCCCTCACCGCGACAGCCCTAATTGTAACCTTATAGTAATGTAAAAGGGCTCCCTATAGTTTACAGCAGAAGCGGAGCTAGAATTATATCCCTAAGAAAAGTAATTATAATTGAATTTATTTAAAGAGAGCAATTTATTCAGTAAACAATTGTTAAATAAAGCAGTTTGTTTAGTTTTTTACCGAACCGTGACGTTTGTGCAGCGGAACGGGCCTCACCTGAGCTCCACCACGGCGCGGGACGCTAGCTCCTGCAGCCTCAGCGGGAACGTGAGCCGGATCGTGTGCTCCAGGGCGTTGGCTTGAGCGAACGGGTTTTCAAACAGGTCCAGGTTCTCCAGGCACAGCTTTCTGAAGCTGGCAGGAAGTACGGTGAGCTGGTTGTGAGCGGCGGACAGGAAGCGCAGCTTGGAGAGCCGGCCGATGTGGAAAGGCAGCCGCAGGAGCTTGTTCTGGTCCAGCTTGAGGTTGACCAGCTGCTGCAGCTGACAGAAGCGAGCGGGCAGGACCTGCAGCTGGTTCTGACTCAGGTCCAGATGCTGGAGTGACGTCTGCAGGCTCGAGGAGCACAGGCCGTCGCTGAAGCTCTCCAGGTGGTTGTTGTGGAGAATCAGCTCGGCGAGGCAGCTCAGGTCGCCGATGGTGGAGGGCAGCTTCTTGATGTGGTTGTTGCTGAGGTCCAGCCGGCGCAGCGCTCGCAGCGACAGCATGCGCAGGTCCACACGGGTCAGTCTGCAGTACGACACCTGCAGCTGCTCCAGAGAGTGCGGGAAGCTGGAGGTGGGTGGATAGTCCTTCTTGGACAGAATGCTGAGCTTCTTCTTGGGTTTCTCCACATCGCGAGCGCGGGCCGGGCCGAGGGACGACAGCGGGAGCGAGTCCGTGTCACTTCCTCTGTGAGCCAGCCGAGCGGCGGAGAGGAAGCTCTTCAAGCTGCAGCTGTCGGCCTGACACACACACACACACACACACACAGAGAGAGAGAGAGAGAGACACAGATACACACACACACACACACACAAACACAGAGAGAGAGAGACACACACAGAGAGAAACACGCACACACAAAATACAAAAATCAAGCACAAACCATTTTGGAAACTGTTCGTATCTTCAGCTTTTTAATAGCATCAGTCTTCTACTTGTGTAAAATCAGGTCTGTGCAGGAACTAGAGCGACGCCAGCAGATATTCCCCCGACATCTGAGAATCAGGTCAGATTACACAGTCGACCAGCGGATACGGAGTTTAAACTTAAAGGGGTCATATGACGATGCTAAAAATATTATTTGGTGTATTTGGTGGAATACAATGTGTTTATGCGGTGTAAGGTTCAAAAAGCATTATTTCCCACAAACTGTACATTATTGTTGCTCCTCTATGCCCCGCCTTTCTGAAACACGTCAATTTTTACGAAGCGTTCTGAAAAGCGAGGTGTGCTGTGATTGGCCAGCTTTCCAGTGCGTTGTGATTGGCCGAATACCTCAAGCGTGTGACGGAAATGTTACGCCCCTCACCAGATTTGAAAGCATCTCAATGGCAACAATACTACAGCGAGAATAAAAGTTCCGCCTTCTTTCTTTGCGTAAACATTTGGGCGGCGTTATGCAAATCTTCCCACACAGTGATGTAGACATGTGGGGCGTGATTCAACTTTTACAAAGAATATCTCTTTTGAGTTTGAGACTTTAGTCTAGAAACAGATTCTATATATGCTCAAATAAAGCAGGAATCAGCACAGCGACCTCGAGTCTGCAGTGACAAAGCAGATATCAATCCAGTTTGTTATTATTACATTATATTTGCAGCCAAAGGCTGGCAGAGACGCTGGCTGTAGCAGTTAAATAAATGTCAAACTCTCAATGGGATTCCCCTTCTATTAAGTAACTGGAAGACAGGAGAAGAAATACAGATTCACACAAAATCCCAATCAGTCCTCTGTTCACACAGTAATGGAGAGTTATCAACCGTGTCATTTATCAACTACCGTGACGCCTAATATATATGTTTGCTGGTTTAGTATTTAAAAAACACCATAATAACTGCACTATGGATTGGCTGTATGATGCAGACGCATATATTTAAGAAACAGCACAGCTTTCCCCGAGAGCACGCGTTTACTTCACTTTACTCAGACAGATGTCGATCGCAGGCTCCTTCAGCCGAACCGTGGCTTTGCCCTCCTCCACGAACCAGCTGAAGAACTTCTCGCTGCAGAGAAACACACACTGGTCCGCAGCAGTACGCCAGCAGAGAGAGCACTGGGTCCTGCCTCGTACGTGGCTCCGCTGCGGTCTCTGGGTGCAGACGAGCAGACACACGCCACGGTCCGAGAGCCTCCCACCGGACAGCACCGCGGCTGGACCGGCCTTTACTCCTCACAGCGGCTCGCCACCTGCACAGCACACCGCACACCTGCACATTAAGAAATTGCACAAAACAAAATCTGCCGAAAATGTATGGTTGCTGAAACTTGTTAAGGCATCCTGCCAGCCAGCCAGCCACTGACAGGTCACGTGACCTGCCAGCCAGTTGAAGACTGAACCCCAACTGCAGCACACAGCACACCTGCACACAGCACACCTGCACACCTCACCTGCACACAGCACAGCACAGCACACCTGCACACAACACACCTGCACACAACACACCTGCACACAGCTGCACACAGCACACCTACACACAGCACACCTACACACAGCACAGCACACCTGCACACAACACACCTGCACACAGCACACCTACACACAGCACACCTACACACAGCACAGCACACATGCACACCTGCACACAGCACAGCACAGTACAGCACACCTGCACAGCACACAGCACACCTGCACACAGCACAGCACAGTACAGCACACCTGCACAGCACACAACACACCTGCACACAGCACAACACACAACACACATGCACACCTGCACACCTGCACACAGCACACCTGCACACCACAGCACACATGCACACCTGCACACACCACAACACACCTGCACACAGCACACCGGCACACCTGTTACTGCCAGCCAGCCAGCCACTGACAGGTCACGTGACCTGCCAGCCAGTTGAAGACTGAACCCCAACTGCAGCACACTGCACACCTGCACACAGCACACCTGCACACCACAGCACACATGCACACCTGCACAGCACACAACACACCTGCACACAGCACACCTGTACACCACAGCACACATGCACACCTGCACACAGCACAGCACACCTGCACACAGCACACCTGCACAAAGCACACCTGCACAAAGCACACCTGCACAAAGCACACAACACACCTGCACACAGCACAACACACCTGCACACAGCACACCTGCACACCACAGCACACATTTCTGCTTCTACTCAAAACAGCACACCTGCACACAGCACAGCACACAGCACACATGCACACCTGCACACAGCACACCTGCACACAGCACACATGCACACCTGCACACAGCACAGCACACAGCACACCTGCACACCTGCACACAGCACAGCACAGCACACCTGCACACATGCACACATGCACACAGCACACCTGCACACATGCACACATGCACACAGCACACCTGCACACCTGCACACATGCACACAGCACACCTGCACACCTGCACACCTGCACACAGCACGAGTCTGAGAAGCAGAGCTAACAGCCACAGTCTGGCTTAGCGTTAGCTAGTCTCCCGCGAGCATAAAGACCGTCTTTGCTCAAAACAGATGGATTCCTCCATTAAACATCGACAACACGACACACGAGTACTGTGCGCGAACACTGGATTGGTATCTGGTTACGGAGACTAATTGGTTATCATAAATCGTTATGTGCGAGGTAAACAAGCTCTGACTGAAAAACATTAAACACACCTGAAGTTCTGAGGCGTTCGCGCTTCTCTGTTCTTCGCTTCAGAATCGGTTATTAGCAAACCAGCAGATCCACAGTAAGACCAAACTCACGCCGGATAATTAAAATAACTCCTCTGGAAGCACGACACGGTTAAATCGTGTTTAAAACAGCGCTCTTTAACCATCTTCCATGTTTAGGGTTAGGGTCGCGCATGCGCAGTGGACTCACTAATATGGCGGCATACTTTACCAGAAGATAATATTTCCGGTGAGGCCTTTCTGCATTAAAATAGTTTTAAAGGTGACATATCATGAAAATCTGACTTTTCCAGGTTGTAAGTGATATAATCGGGTCCCCGGTGCATCTACCAACCAAAGAAACGTGAAAAAGATGAACCCAGTAACTTAGGTTTGGGAAGCCTTTTTCTGCAAGCCTCTGAGCCCTTGGTGACGTGGCAAAGATCTCATTATAATATCACCGCCCCTTAATCTGTAAGTGTACACCCACGGCGCCGTTATTGTGTTTTCACAAGCGACAGTGGTGTATTACTTCTAATACCATGGAGAAAGTTTGAGCGAAGCATGCTAACTTAACGTAAACTTGTGTGTGAATGAGAGCTTAGTTTAGTGCTCGCATGCTGTGACAGCCGCTTTCTGTGCGTGTGCTTCAGATGTGTGCGCTCAGAAAACCCTATATCTGAAGTTTAAACTCATATGGTTTAAAACGCATGGTTTCAGCACGATACACATGATAATCAGAACCAAAACAGATGTTTTCAGCAGGTGCCAGCTGTAATGGCGCAGCTCATTTGCATTTAAAGAGACAGGCACGAAAAACAGCGTGTTTCTGCTTCTACTCAAAATAGGCATTTTCAAAATGATATAATAAATGATCTGTGGTGTATTTTGAGCTGAAACTTCACAGACACATTCTGGGGACACCAGCGACTTATTACATATTGTAAAAAGGGGCATAATATGTCTCCTTTAATTCATTAGCAGTGCTGCTCATGACAAGCTACTTTCCAGGACTCATTCGTGTAACCCACAGGAGCGACAGCAGTACTAGTTTTCATCCGTGTGAGTAGTTTTCTGTCATTATTCTGCTGCGGTGAGCGCGAATCAGCTGCTCCATCAAAACATCACGATCGCGTGTGACTGATTAGATAAGATAATTAACTCGATTTGATCAACACTACTGACTAATTATCAGTTAAAAGAGTTATTTAATCAGTGCTGAGGATGACACGTGCAGTGGTATAACACACACTGACCATATGAAGCTCTGCAGAGGAGTTGTGTTGTAAATACACGTTTGATGTGGACTTTGTCATTGTGGGATTGTTCTAAATGTTTGTTGACATCTGTAAATTAACCTGCAGATGAATGAACGATGTGCTGAACGTTAAACAGATGTTTCGTCAGTAACATGTACATCTCCTTCTAGAGACTGTCAGACATGGAGGATGAGGATGATGAAGATGAGTTGGAGTGGCTGCAGGAGCAGGAGGTGTTTGTGTCCAGAGAGAGTCCAGCGGAGCGCGGCGGCTGCATGTGTGTGTTTGGGGAGGATACAAGGTCCATCGTACTCGCATCGCTCGTTCACATCAGCCTGAAGGCGTTTCTACAGGCCCGAGGAAACACTAATCTGATGAGCCTTCCTCCTGAAGCCAGACACCGGATCAGCGGCGAGCTTCAGGAAGACACAGGTCCGCAGGTTTATCGTCTGCGCTCCGCTGGGAGAAGATGAGCGAGCTGACGGGTCTGGCTCCGACCTGCAAAGACAAGCTGGGCTGCTGGGTTTACAGAAACCAGTACGTGCTCCTCAAGCACCATCTGATTCACCAGATCCCGTGGCTTTCCTCCAGCTGCTTGTGGTCTGTTTCCGCAGGCTGGCGTATTTCGGGAGCTACGGCTGTATTGTGCAGTCCGCTCACAGAGGAACATTTCAACTAGGTGAGAGCTCCTTCATGGTGAGTCCGTCTTCATCGCCAGCCGTCCCATGCGACGCGACTGTAACGAGAAATCGTTGCGATGTTTTTCAGGGAAACCCCGCAGGACGAGACTGGAACAATCTCATCCACATTCTGGATCTGGAGACGTCAGCGTGGAGTAGGGCTGTGCAATTAATCAAAAACAGTTTTTCGATTTCGATCTCCAACCATGATTATTGCGCCCCATTCCCAGAGCTTTCGTTCCTCCATAAAAGCCCAATTTCATGTGCAAATCAGTAAAATCGTGTAACGTGACTTTTGCAAAATGGGACGTGCTTGATTTATAGAAGTGTATTTATTCATGTTTTTAAAAGCGTGAAAGAGAACTATCGCTGCTCCTCAGGAAGATATACAGGTGCATCTCAATAAATTAGAATGTCGTGGAAAAGTTCATTTATTTCAGTAATTCAACTCAAATTGTGAAACTTGTGAATTAAATAAATTTAATGCCAGAACACGGACTGTAAAGACATCTTTTAGGTGCGCGCCTAAACAGTCAAATACACGTTTTACATTTGATTATTAATTTCTGTAGTTGTTACATGTTCTCCGTGCCGTTTGGACTTTTATGTTGAATGTTATGGTGTTGTTCTGCTCCTTGTTCTGCCCGTGTTTTGGTTCTGTTTCCGGTTCTTTGTTCACTTATTCTTTTTATTAAACCACCTGCAGTTAGATCCACAACTCAGCCTGTTTCCTTCAGCCCCCAAATATAACCGTAGCAGGCTGTCAACTGCTTGAGACTTGCATAAAAAAACATTAAAGCACAGTTTGTTTCATTTTTATTCTATTGTATTTGTCTTTTGCTTTTTTATTACTGACAGTTTAGTTATTTTCAATCATTTTGAGGACTTTTTGTTTGTTTGTTTGAAACTCCGCGGGTCTCTACTATGTAGATGTCATAGCAAGCTTATTTACAGGAAATATATATTTGATATGTATCACTATCTTTAAATAAATCACTCATATAAAGTTTTGGTCATTTGGCCCCCTCATAATTGTGTTAAATAATTGTGATTACAATATTGACCAAAATAATCGTGATTATGATTTTTGCCATAATCCAGCAGCCCTAGCGTGGAGCCAACTCCTCACGAAGGTGTTTCAGCTGTAATCCAGGTATGTGTGGATCTGCGTGATCCGGTTCTGATGCTGTGTCTGTGTGTGTCTCTCTCTGTGTGTGTGTGTGTGTGTTTGTGTGTGAGTGTCTGTCTCTGTGTGTATGTGTGTGTGTGTGAGATTGTGTGTGTGTCTGTCTCTGTGTGTATGTGTGTGAGATTGTGTGTGAGTGTCTGTCTCTGTGTGTGTGTGTGTGATTGTGTGTGAGTGTCTGTGTGTATGTGTGAGTGTCTGTCTCTGTGTGTATGTGTGTGTGTGTGTGTGTTTGTGTGTGAGTGTGTGTCTGAGTATAAGTGTGAGTGTGTGTGTGCGAGTGTCTTTGTGTGTGTGTGTGTGTGTGTCTGTTTCTGTGTGTGTGTGTGTGAGTTTGTGTGTGTGAGTGTCTGAGTATAAGTGTGAGTGTGTGTGTGTGTGTGTGCGATAAATACGTTGCGTTTCATGTGATCTGTAAATAAGCACCTGTTCTCTGCTGATCTTTCTTCATCCTGTTATGACCAGTAATATCTTATGCTGAATGTAATGATTGTTGTCAGTGTAGATCAGGCTCACAGTCTCAGGGAGGTTCAAGCCATGAAGCGTTTGAGTCCCCATCCCAACATCCTCCAGCTTCATGAGCTCATTTAGTGAGTATTTATTAACAACTCAGTTCTGAATGAGTGAATGAATATTAACACGCGCTGAACTGATCACACACTCTGCTTTACAGCGATAAAGGCTCGGGAACGCTGTCACTCATCTGTGAGCTCATGGAGATGAACATATACGAGTTCATTAAAGGTACGGTGCGTTTGCTGTTTGATGTCAGTCACGCAGAGGTAAACGTGTCTTGTGTTCCTCCTGCAGGCCGTCAGTGTCCTCCAGCCGAGAGTAAAGTCAAGCACTACATGTTCCAGCTGTGCCGCTCTCTGGATCACATGCACAGGTGACACTCCTGAACACACACACACACACACACACACACACTCACACTCTCACACACACTCTCACACACACACACTCACACACTCACACTCACTCACACACACACACTCACACACTCTCACACACACACACTCACACTCTCTCACACACACACACACACAGACACACACACTCACACTCTCACACTCTCACACACACTCTCTCACACACACACACACACACACACACACTCTCTCACACACACTCGCACACACAGACACTCTCACACACACACACGCATCAGCCTCTTCCTGTGAACCGCACTGACACTTCTCTGTTCATTCTGAACCACAGCCATGGTATATTCCACAGAGACGTGAAGCCGGAGAACATCCTGATCAAAGACCGTCCATGTGATTTAACAGCTGAATCATCACATGTGACCCTGGAGCACAAAACCAGTCATAAGGGTCAATTTAGTGAAATTGAGAGTTA